GAAAGTGTGCTTAGTAAATCACGCAGACACATCTCCGCGAGTATCGGCATTTTTATGAATACGCGCCGCCTCCCTGCAGTTTGTAACCGTCAAGGATATCCGAGGGTCAGACGGGCCGGCTGGGCTCCGTTTCTACTTATCACCCTCCCTCCTCTTCGTCTCCATCCTCCTCTTTCATCTCATGACCTCTTTCCTTCTTTCTCTGCTCCATCTGCCTCGCTCTCCTCTCCTCCGGCTCCCCTCACGCTTCCCCCTCTCTTTCACATCTTTCCTCCTCCTGTTTCTCTTATCACGCTGCCTCTGGTCCCAGAGGGAGACGGTGAGCGGTGGAACCACAGCAATGCAGGGTGCTATAGAGGGAGAACGGGGCTCTATAAAGAAGCCCTGGCACGGCTCGCATCACCACCAGCCAGCGCGGCCCACAGTGCCCACCTGCCTGTGCGTCGCCACCGTGGCCGCTGAGAAATGACTCACACCGCAGGATCGTCGCACACCGCTCAAGCACGGACGTTAGCGTCAAGATCGATTATTTGCTCAGCAAGGATGTCAGGGGAAAAAAAGGGGGTTTTGAGAGCCTCCTCTCCTACGGCTGAGTGAGAGAGACTATGTTTGTAGCCATTAGTCCTCCCACCCTGCAGCCGCATCCTTTTTTAGTACAAAAAGATTCTAACAAATCCCCCACGGATTGGAGAAGCACTGCTTCATTAGTTCTGCACAACACGCCACTTTGGTGTGTGTTTAAGTGTGATTGTGCAAAAAAAACTGAGGGCGTGACACAATGTGCTGCGTAAGAGGATACAGAACACCACCGGAGGTACATTAGTTATGGATGAAGCAAACTTCCCTCAGTAGCAGAGAAGGACGTGTGTTTGAAAAGGAGGACACGGCGCACAAAGAGCAAAGCTACACCTGCTGCTACGCTAATCCTTTCATTTGTTCTGCTTTTTTTTAACGTAATACAGTGATTATGTTCAGTTTCTCACAATGTTCAGGATTGACTGGGAAAAAAAAGCTGAATTCCAGGTATTTGCTAATGAAGTGGCAATTTGCTAACTTCTGTCTTTCTTGTGATTTTGAGGATGCTAAAAGTAATTTATGTTTAAATGAGTACTGCATTAAACAGGTCTGGATTTAGCCCAATAACAGAAAAACATGAAGTATCTTAGTTAGATCTTAGTTACTAGTTCTGACAGATAAAATACTGGTAATAGTGTTTATTGAGATAAACCAATATCCGTATGTTCTGCTTGATTTCGCTTAATTTCACGTTTGCCGTGCACATACAACCTTTGATTTCAGCGTGCCACTTGATCCTTCTGGATTTCAGTATTTGTCAGTTTGACTGTACATATGCATGTTGTTCTACATGTTTCCAAGATATGTTTGTGGTTTTTCATTGTGTGTGTGTGTGTGTGTGTGTGTGTTGTAGCACGTAGTAGCAAAGCATAGGTGGGTTTATAGGACGGTGGTAGAATAGGAAAGAAAAAGCAAGGATTGCATTAACATATACCACAATAGGTCACATTGATCAGCTGTTGTTTATGTACTGAGCACTGGGGTTGTTTATTAGTCCACATTTTACTACGGATGTTGTGTGCAAGCTTTATAATTACAGTTTAGTTCATTGCACATTATATTGACTTTAATTAAAGGATTAAAGGATTACATGCTTCCATAAATTCTTCACCCTCTCGGGTTTAGAAGCACTTCCAAAAAAAACAGATAATTGAGAAAAGTGTGTTGTCGTCGAGCGCAACGCACACCTGTTTTCTGTCTGCTGTTGACACTTTGAAGACGATAAAGCCTCCACCTGACAGCGAGCATCTCTAGTGTGCCCGAGCAGATCAAACTCTGACTCTTGGAGGGTGCGAAGCCAAGAAAAGATGAAACGATGAGTGTGAGAGAAGGGAAGGGAAGAAACGCACAAAAGAAGGCCACCAGAGGGCTGCATTCTCGGGAAGAAAAGACGAGCAAGGTGCATCGTTACAAATGAGATGGAGCTGTGGAGAAAGGGTGGAGGGGGGCCCCACGTTGGGGTTTCTTGGCGGGATGGGAATTCTTGGTCGTGAAACTGTTGAACTCGCTGATCATCCGTCAGCGGCCGGGCCTCCCCTCGGGCCTGCTTTCGACTCCCATAATGAAAGTGAGGCTGATGTTGCCATTTTCCAACCCTCTTTCTCACCATCAACGTCTGCACAGACGATAAATCCTGCCCTAAACTGCTGCGCAGTGCATCTCATTACACGCGCCACGTCGCACCGCGCGCCCCGATTACTTCTTCTTACTATCGCAGCGGACCGGGGTCATAATTCAAGTCCAAAGGAAAAAAAGCCCCTTCAGGAAAGAAGTTCCTGACTAGCTGGGATCCCTTCACACTCAAAAAAGTCATTTGGCAAAGTTCCGCCACAATTATACAAATGAATTCATCAAAGCGGATTGTGGTGAAAAAAAGTTTCTAAACGCACTTGACATAATTCTTGCTCATCTCTTTTTAAAATGTATTTTCCTCTGTAATGCGGCAGTTTGCGCTGAAAGATTTGTAGTATTACGAACAGTGTGTGTTTGACAAAAGTTTGGAAATATACACACAATTAAAAAATAGCACGTTAATAAGGAAAGACCGCAGGCTTCTAAAACCTTTTTGCTAAGCACATTTAAACAACCTTCAATGTCATCACATTATATAATTCAACTCTAGAAATCTATAAATGACAATGCTCCTAGACAAGATATTTTCTGACTTAAGAAAATAGATCTATTGTATCACCACTACAATCATCCTTTGTATCTCTGAGATGAGCTAAAGGTTAAGATATTCACACACACAGGGGATATTCAGTCCTGCAGCATCTTGAAGCTTATTTCTTTTTAATGCTGTGAATGTGTAATGATGCAGTGGAAATCGACCTGCTGCTCTTCCTCGGTTTCTCTCCTCATTAGCGTCTTTTAGAAGATGCTGATCGTATAAAACGTGATGTAAAATGTGTCATTAGTGTCATAGTATTGCTTCATAAGTTATTGAGCCGAGTTAATAACTTGCATAATGCAATACAAGGTCAATATACTCGTCTGCACGGCAGTTGATGATTAATGGATCAACTAGAGCAACACCAATATTATGAGTTACCTGTAATGCCCTTGTCACACTTATAGAGCATTTATAATGCATTACGGTCTTCTCACAGTAATTTAAATGGTGTGAATTAACACAGGAATTATTATGTTGTTGCATTTCATATTGTCACACAGCACAGATGATTTTATGAAACTTTTTTGATACTTTTATCTAGAGCAGATTTTGCTCAGCATCTATTTTTGAAACTGAATGTGGGAACTGGGGTCTGAAAAGCAGGTGTTAGTGAACACTTTCTGTCCCTCTGGTCATCAGCCAGGGCGGCAATAAAACCAGCTCAGCGCCGCCGTCTATTTCCGTTGGCTCTATATTTAGTGCTGTTAATGAGTCTGCTCTGTTGTTCTGCGGCTCTCTCTGCATTTACATGCAGTAAATATTTAAAGCAGCGCGGAGTGATTTTTATGGGTCATTTTGTGTTTGTTTGTTGATAAACATCCAAACTGAACGATTAGTTCATTAACCTCTAAAGGTATAAAGTGCAGTGCAGCGGACAGGTGACGGTGCACGCTGAATATGTTGGATTGAGTTATAATGGGCATTGAACCAAACACTAAATGAATAATCAATTTGTCAACAGATTCATTTATGATCATTTCTGACAAAATAATTATTGGATTCACACAAAATGACGCATGAATGACGAAGAACCGTGTTTTTTAGGAGCGGTGATGAGCGTCACTGCGACACGGTAACGTGTCACATGGATCGAAGAACACGCTTGCGTAGAGATCAAGTAGATGCACATGTTGTGTGTGTGTGTGTTGAGAGGCTGGATGCTTCTCCATCCTGCTGGTTTAACCTTGAACACGAGGACGTGCAGGAAACCAACCGGTGTTCTTCTTCAGACCAGCAGGGAGAGGCAGACTGCTGGACTAGTTGTGCTTGATGTCAGACTGAAGTCCTGCACACCTCCATAATAAGATGTGCACCACTAACATACAGCCTGCTGAAAGATAAAGACATCATCTCGTTCCCACAACAAGTTATCTTTTCTTCTCTCCGCTCTCATTTCTTACCCTCCCCTATGGTTTCTACTGCTTGCACTGTGAGGATAGAACACTCGTCTGTGGGCGTTTGATGAAGGGAATCCGGGAGGTCGGATCTTGGAGTTCTTGGTATTGCTCCTTTAATGGGTTTGATATTGGAAAAATTGAATGTTTTTCCTCCAGCATCGGCAAATTACAGCAAGATACACAACATACACGACCCAACCTTCACCAAAAGCAAATCAGCTAATCCTTTCAATTCTTACTGGATTTCTGCCTCCGAATTCTTCCAGATGGAACATTTGCATGGACACAAACTATTAAATATTGTATTCAGTGGGATATTTAAGTTCAAAAGTGCAGTGTTGGACAAATTTGGCTGACAAAACTTAAGTTAGCAGAATTTTTATAATTTAGTAGTATAGTTTATTGTGCCAACATGCTGCGTTACCAATACATCAGTGTTGTTCTGTTCTACTTCCTTGTCAAATAGAAATTGGTTTAGCTTTGACTTTGATCACTTTTAGTTGAGTTAGTTAGTCTAATTAATGTTCTCAAGTCATGTGACCTGAATGTGACATGAGCAGCAGCGGATTATATAAAATGTTGAAAATGACCCATTGGAATAAATGATATTTACATAATAACAGCCTGATATATTATTAAGCTTATCTGTCCAGCGTGAAAGATTCAAATGAAATTGACGAGAATGAATCTGCAAGATCATCTCACCGATTAACTTAACTTAATTAACTAAATTATATAAATTATTAGTGTGCAGTCTACAAGTGTGTATTAATCACACTGGATGCAAGTACGAAGTATTTCCCCCCCATTCAACCACGTCTTTACTTACTTTCGACCTCTGTGCTTCTCCTCAGCTGAGCCTCTCCCGCTGATGGATCTGTGTCGGCGTGCAGCCCGTCTGGCTTTGGGTCGGGAGCGGCTTAAGGAGATTCGGGGCCTCCCTCTGCCCCAGTCCCTGAAAGATTACCTCCAATACAAGTGACTGACAGCAGCAGAGAGGACACAAACCAGCCACCGGAACGTCTGAATGAATGATGGACGAATTCGCTGTATAAATGTAAGGAGGCGGCACAGCTCTGCGAAAGATGGATTTATACAAAAAAGGAAGAAGAATGAAGAACTGACAAAGGAGGTCCAGGCTTTTCAAACAAAGACAGCACCAGATTATTTTGGATTTCGCGGCTGCTTTATCATTTGTTTTATTTTTTTTTACTTGAAATAAATTATTGACGATGGAATCCCATCAGTGTCTCGCTCATCCAGGAGGAAAAACCCGAAGTGGCGTCAGAGTCCGAGTGACCGGCGCCACCTAGTGATGAGAATGAAGACTGCGCTGAGGAAGCACACTAATCCTTTTCCCCCCCGGAGGCCTTTCTGACACACATTCAGCGACCGTATCATTGCCATTGGGCGCCATAGCCTGTATTCATGGCACAGGTGAGAGCCTGCAGAGCCCAGACGAATGAAAGAGGATTTAGCACTAACTGATTGACTCTGGGCCCGACCATAAGCTTACATCTCATACAGAGTATATCTAAATCGTGGCTGCAAGGTGTGTGCAAAGTTTAGTAAAAAGAATTAAGCATGATGAACGCATCTCCTGGCTTTATGCAAACATTTGATGGGAGTGAAGCCCTTTTCAGACATGGAATAGTTAAGTTAAAGTCATGGCTTTGAAGACTATGACGGTTGTGAAGTCTTTAATGGGAATATTCAGAATGGGAATATTTAGCACCTGGTGCATGAGAAGGCGTAGTGGAATTTAAAAATAGTGAAATGAAGGAATTCTATTGCATTTGTGATGGATTTTAAGTCTCAAATAATGACCATTGTCCCTGTGAGAGAAGCTCACCACCAGCTCCCACTGATCAAGTTCATCATTTATTTTGTTTACTTTGTAACATTTCCTCATATTTATTGCCTTATATACCATAATGCCCAACTACAAAATTAACCGTCCCTTTGTATGCTGTATGTAAAGAGCTTCTATATACAGAATTTGTATTTTCATCCCTGCAGTTAACCTATATATAAATAATATAAAATGAAGGATGTCTGATGATTATTTTTAATAATCATCAGAAATAGAAATCCCTTTTATGATCTGACATCTTGGTATTTGAGCAGATTTGATTGAAAATAACCCAAACAACCCTCCAACTACAACCCAATTTCAATTTAACTATTGGCTGAACTGCTGCATGTTGGATAATACGTGAATGGCATTTTTTAAATGAGCATTTAAGTTGGGAACAATACATGCACCTAATGCTTGTGTCTGCATAAAGTGGTCTGCTGTTGCCTTTATGACAATACAGAACAGTATCCCATTAAAACCTGCAGGGGAAAGGAAATGTCAGTAGGACCACTGTATTAAGATGGCAGAAGCTACGTGTCTGAAAGGGGCTTTAATACAACCGTAAACCGGAGAGAACTGCTTGGTGTTTAAAGTGTTGAGTAGCACTGAGAACCATTTACTCACAGGACACTAAATCATATATTACGATGTCAATCACAACCAAAGTATTTCATACTATATGAGCCTTGGAGTGTGTGAAGGCGTCAGGAGGAGCTGCAGGTCGTGGCCCATCGCAGAGTCACTCGTGCTTTCATGCTGTCGCCCGTAAGAGGAGCCTCGCCTGCTGTTTGTAGCAGCCTGCTGTAGCTCACCGGTGCCCACAACTGTCCGCGCAACTGTCTTAATGACCGTCAACAAACAAACAGGACCGCAGCAGATCTTGTCTCACTGGATGTTTGGTTGGAAAGACGTTGGAGCAGGAGGAAGGAACGTTACTACTAGAGCAGAATAGGATGCAGTTGACCAATGCACACGCACACACGCACACACACACCAGACCAATTGTGTTTTCTTTCCTAAAAAAAAGTCACTTTTTTTAACGTCTTGAGTTTATATTCAACATTATTATTAATATTATTGTGAGTGTGGAGTTTGATTCTGTTGATGGCGGAATGATGATGATTATTATTTATCACGAGATATCTATGTTTGTCTGATGATTGATGGTTACATTCAGGTAAATTTAATACAAATATGCTGGTGATGAAAGGAGGGAGAAATCAAAAAGTTGTTTCTTTAATGCTGCTTATGTTATTATTATTACTATTTGTGAGGATGGGGGTCTGAACTCTTGCTTTTATCAGGTAGGATGGCGAGAAAAGGATCATTCAGAAAAGTAGTGGAATGTATGAACGGACGGTGCAGTTGAGACGTCAACAGATATCAAATGTGAATAAAAGCCAAGTGAATTTGAAAACTTTTCTAGTATATGTCTTGTTTCTTTCAGGAAATATGATTGACACGGTTGTAAACAAAACCCGAGGGGGCCACAGCAGTGCGCAATGTGCACAGGCAATACATCTGGTCCTAAAATAAAAGCTCAACGTCTTCCATTATATCATTTGAAACTGATTTTTCTGTAAATGTAACATTTTTCACACATCTGTTGTAAAAGACCATCCCAAAAAGCATGACTTTGCAACAACAGCACTGACATCCAAGCATATTTAAAAATATACTGCAACACTCTTAATTTATCTGCCATGTTGGACCACAATGCATGCATGCATTTGCGTATTTGAGCTCATTTATTTTTTTGTGTCAACTAGATTTTCTGTTTTGAATGGTCAACCTGCAGACCGCTCTTTAACTTAGTCCAGTAAGTGTTTAACTGAATTCAAAAAGACAAATCAAAATAGAATTGTCTAAATGTGTTTGAGTGTGGAAAGGTTTCGGAGAGAAAACATCTGCATACCTTGAAGCATACTGCAAACCAATATTGTGCCGGAATTCCATAGAAACCAATCCCATCGTCGTCAGTCCAAGGTGAACTGTTGCTCTGTCCAGCACTGTTCCAGAATAGTGTTATTGAACAACCGGTGCCCATTAGATACAAAAGCCATTAAGCTACTAATTGAACCAAAGCATTTCCTGATGCTGGAGACCTGCTGGGTCCTAAATGAAGAGTCTGCACTGTGCCAGCAGGAAGCCAAAGCAGAGCAGCAACACTTTATTTAAAATGAGGAGTACGAAGCAGTATATTCTCAGCACAATAACAAAGAAATCAAATAGGATTCAAAGATAATGATATGCCATTTGTTTTCTCAACTTTACTACATTGAAGGATATCATTTTTCATCTACACTCACAACCAGATTTGATGGGGAAAGTAGATGCTTTCATATATGATCAATTGTATGTTTACATTTCTTATCTCCTATTGTTTTAGTTTTTCTCCATTGTCATTTGGCGAGATGAATACATAAGTCTGTACTGTGACTTTCATTCAAATACTAAACTATGGCTTTTCTGTCTTACAACACTGTGACGGTCACAGTTTTTTAAAACTCACTTTTTATTTGGTTCAACTACACGACAATGTGCATTTTCAGACAGTCACTTTCTGTGTCCATTTTACAGTTGTATGTAGTGTTGGTACACAACTGTGACGTTTTTTCCGTTCCTTTCATGAAAAGCAGCACAATGATCAAACACATTTAAGTTAAGTCGAACCTTTGTGTCCTTTTGTGTTACTTGTTCTCATTTTCAGTTTTTCACCTACAATTTAAGTTGTTATTATTATTTTCGTATGTTGCAACTGAACAATCACAATGTTTGGTGATTGTTGCACACACACACACGCACGTACACGCGCACACACACACACACACACACACACACACACACACACACACACACACACACACACACACACACACGCACGCTTCATTCAAATGAGTGAAAGAGCTGTGAAGAGTCTAAAACAAGTCTTTATTGGTCAATATACAGAAAGCAGCGGGATGACCACTAAAGAGAGAGAAATCCCAACCATTTAGTTTACAAAAAGAAAAAGAAACATATAAAATAACGATCTTAAACATTTTTACAGGATTTGTTTTTATATGTAAAACAATCTTTTTCACTTTGATCTTTAAGAAGCACAGTATGACGAAGGGGGACGAGGGAAACAAAGAAATTGTTTCACAATGATGACATCACAATCACAGGTTCCTAAAGGCCAACAGAGTGGGGGGGGCGTATCAGTCTAAGAGCTCAGAGGGAGTAATAGTCACGCATGTAGTAGCCATCAGGTCAGAAGAGATGGTCAACGGAGATACTTTTAGTAAACTTTGTCTGAGCGATGTCACTTGATCTCTAATAACAAATAGTACAAGACGAAACAAATAATAGAAGTTTCTGCTTCTGCTCGTTGACTTTTACGACACCAGTAAACAAACACCGGTGGGTCTTCATCTGACTGTGAAGGAGCACTCTATCAGTGTTAACCTTCTCTGTCCACCCAGTCTGAGAGTCCGACCTCCATGATGGAATCTGGGTTATTTGAGTTTGGACGTGTTGTACTTTTATCCTGGTCTCATGACGATATTGTACAGAGGAGTCTATAGTGTGCTGTTCCTAGATTAGTACAACTCATGACAGTTTTACATGAGTTAGTTATTTGTTCATAAAAGAGTTTATGAGTATGAGTGAGTTGAGGGATGAGTCAGTAAGTTTGTTGTATTGTTACACACATTTGCCCACAATCCATTGCAAATGAGTCTTGCTTAAGATATTAAATATTACTTTTATGGATCAACGCTCACCATGTTGCAATTTTGTCCCCAGCGATACATGAGTGCATTTCTAATTAGATGGAGTACCCCTGTTTCTGTGTACTGGTCCTTTATACTGGGCCCATAATTGCATAGAGGGATCCTTTTACTATTGAATTAACAACACAGAAAGACAGAAGATCAGAAGCAGATTGTAACATCTGTGTGTTATGAAAAAAGAAAGAACTGATCTAACCCTGGACAGTAGAAGCTACAATAGGCCACAGAATTGATAGATTTGGTACACAGGCAGATGTAAACAAACCAAATGTTTTTGTTTTACTACAATTAACAATTACAATTTTTACTATTTTTTTCATGAGCTGATTAGCTGATGGAGCAGAGCCTTTATAGAAACTAAAGGTTAGATTATATTATTATTAATTTCTATTACTAATGCTGCTTTGCAAATAAATAAGGAGGAAAATTGAATGTTTATGGTAAAATATAAAATATACACAATGTTGTTTCTCGTTAGTGTCGAGGCCACAGAACTCAACACTGATCACACAGAGGGAGAGATTTGAGTTAAATATCGCAACAGATATTTACACTGAGTGACAATACGACTATGTTACACCTACTATATAGGCCGAAGGAATTTTAAAGTTTATGGATGCATTAACAAATAAAGACATTTATGGATAACTCACCATCTTGCAGACAATCAGTTTGAAACATAAATAATAATTTCATCACTTAAATGTGAACGTATAATGAGAAGTCTGTTCTTGTTTGATATTCATCTTATATTTAACCTCACTGACTGCCGTGTGAGTAACAACATACTCATGCGCACTGTTTTCCACCGCTGTGGGACTGCAGCTGATTCTGTAGGTCTGACTTTGTCCAGCAGAGGGAGATGTGTCATTAAAAACAACAACCAGGGAAGATTCAAAGTGTTTTTTACAGCAACAGATCAGAGATTTCTGATTGGTTTGTTTTTTCTGTGTGTGTGTGTTTGTGTGTGGTAGATATAGAAACAGAGAGAGAACAACGTATATGTAACGAATGTTTGTATGTGCAGGTTTATGTTTATATGTTTGGTCAGTAAGTTAAGGAGGTACTGTCCCACTCTATCTTTTTCTTCTGCTTCCTCTCACTCACGTCTTCTCTCTCCTCCTCTCCGCCCTCTTCATCTGTATCACTTGTCACTCCTCCCACCTGTTCCTCATCCTCTTCTTCTTCTTCTTCCTCCTCCTCGAGGTCTTCTTCTTTTACCTCCTCTTCATCATCATGCGCCTGAGCTCCCCCAACGTTCTAGAAAACAGAGATGGATTCAGAAAAGGTTACCTCAAAATCATCGGGTGTGCAGCTATTTGTAATGCAAGTGGTCTCCTAGTCTTCCAATTAGTATTCTGAAGCAGTAAAACACCTAAAATAAAAAAAAGCAGTCCAACCTCCATGGGGTTGACAGTGATGTTGAGAGCAGAGTTGTCCCAGTCCTCCTCGGTGTCTTTGACCTCCTCCTCATCTTCTCTGGACCCTTCCTGATGAGTGGCGTGGATCCTGTACACGCCAATGACCACAATCACCACCAGGGCGGCAATGCAGACCACTATGACGACTGTGGCTGCTGGAGGTGCAGCTGAAAGAGGACAGAGAGGGTATAATATATATATATATTATATAAAAAGACACAGTTTATACAATGGACAATGGCTGCAACGCTTCTCCAGTTTAATCATCATATTTCATCTGAAACGGAGAATGAAGGCCAAATAATCTGAAGGTCTCGAAGAAGTTTACATGTATGCCTGTAATTTTTCACCTGTGTTTTCATCTCCAGATAATTGGCCGATGAGCCGTGTGCGTGTGCGTGTGCTGCTGTGGACTGTTGTTGTGGTTTCTTCTGAGCTCTGCCATTGCTCAGCTTCCTCTCGTCTCCCCCCAACTGAATGTTCCTTCGATTTGTGATTACTGTTTTAGCCCTCTAGGCTTCCCAGCCGTGACTCAGGCTTGTAAAGAAGGTTTGGTTTATATTTTGGTTAAAGTGCACAGCGAAGTGCATGTCGTGGTGTGCTAGCATACAGGTGTTCACATGTTCACAAGTTGATATGCATTTGTGCCTAAGAAGAGACAACCAGCGTAGCACCTCTATCTCTATTTGATCTGTTTGTGGTATCTGCTCCAATAAATTCTAAACTTTGTATTTTTTAAGGCATTTAAAGTATATTTGGAGGGGCCTCACTAGTAATCTTAGTTGTACAACAGCTGTAGGAAACGTAATATGAATTCATGAGAACAGATAATAGAGGCATTGTGTTTAGGGCCCCGTCCATAATGCTACTATATGTTTTACTATAATAACAACAATCTGTACAACCATAGTTATAAGCACTAACAGATATGATTAATGCTGCATAACGATCATAATAGTATTTAAACTTGAAGTATCATAAATCTACACTCTCTTGCATTATAGCCACTGAAATATTTAATTACAATGAGATTCTTCTGAGGTTCATTATTGCTCTAAGTTAAGTAATTAAAAAGTTTAGGTGGATGTTCTCATAATAATATCAATGAAATGTCTCTATACTGAAGTATAACCAGTCTGTAATGAATGTGAAGATACAATAAAATAATTCAGATCTCCTCCACAGAATACGCTCCAATGACATCCTTCGGCTTACCTGACATGTGTGAGTTGAGAGTGTGTATCATGAGCGGGTGGTGCACAGGTCTCATGTACTGAGGTTGGGCAGCCACATGATTGACATGTTCCACAGGGGCCGAGTGGTGAAGAACACCAACCTACAGCACAGAGGAGAGACGCCTGTTATTCCCGGCGGCATGAAAGGAACTGAGTGAGCACAGGAGAGATCAAAAGCAAGGAAAGGGGCATGAGAAAAGGTAGATGACAAAGCACAGGGAGTTGCTGAACACCGAAGGACGCAGAGATAAAAGTTGATATGTGGCAATTAAGATGCATCAAACCGACCTCCAGATTGAACCCGTTGCTGGTGTAGCGTCCGTTGAGTTCAGAGCAGGTGAGTCTGAACTTTCTCTCGTTCAGCGCGGCTGGTCGCCAGTTCCTGTAGCGCACCTGCCTCAGCGCCTGCTCATAGTGCGCCATGCAGTCCACCCCTTGACACACAGGAGCAGAATGTGTTGCACTGGGGCCTAGAATATGTCATGCAGCGCTGTGTGTCGGTTTGTGTAATATGTTATTACAAGAGATCTCAGAGACCTTTACAGCTGTCGTACTCTATAGAGCGCCGACGTTCATCTTGTTGCTGAATAAAGGGCAACCATTTATAGATATTCTTCAAGGTTTTAAGGGAGGGGGGGCATTTCACGAGGTCTTCGAGTAGAGAGCATTGGAGCCACACACCCTCCCTGAGTGGTAGCCTTACCGTATATTGATATTCCAGAGGTGGAGTTGGTGGCATCCAGGTGTTTTCCCAACAAGGCACTGTGATGGATCTCCAAGCTCTCTCTCTCAGGATTCAGCTCTTCCCCGATTACCAGCACATCACAGTAGTCCAGGTTATGCATCACCTCCGTCACACCTTGTCTGTGGGCTGTTTGCATTCACACGAAATGACACGCAGTATATCCAGTGTACAAAGACAAACGTAGCAGGTATTTTCTTCACCATTAACAGAAATGTGGCTTAAAGGCCAGTGCGCATCTTAAAAATACAGCGACCTTCTCCACTCACATCCACCAAAGCCGTCTCCCTTCATCACTGTGCTGGTGATGTGAAGCTCTTTGAAGGGGGCCACACCCAGGGGGCCCCGCAGGTCATTGGCAGGTCTGACGAGCCGATTAGACCCTGCGATGGTGATTCTGGGCTCACTGGGCGGCAGGACCATGACCACGGACTTGATTTCTGGGATGGAGAGACATGTGTCCTCGCCGAAACACCTGACACACACACACACACACATCAGAGGAAAGGTGTTACAGTGAAAAAGTGTCACTCTTCCACTGCTCATTTGTATTCGTGCCATTTGTGTCACAACTTCCTTCAGTAGGAATTAAAAACAAATACCAAAAATGAGTAATGGGATGACGTACTTTCCTCCGTCACAGACGGCAGATTCAACATATCTGCAGAGTGTGAAGGCGGATCTGTCTTTATCTCGGGGGGGTGGGGGGCAACATGCATTGCTGCTCCTCCAGCTCGCCCCACTTTATCGACCAGCGCACATGTAAGCGGATCTGACTCGCCTGCGTTGGGTGTGGAGACGGCAACAGACACATGAACGAGCGCTCCCGTATAGCAAGGTGTCGCACACAGCTGAACACATGGGTATACAAGTTGTGTTAGGATGAACAAATACTGGAGGAATGAGGGGTAGCAAACACACATACACACACAAACCCACATTACATCTCTCTCACATGCGCACAAATGCAATCAAGCATGTAACATTCAATGTGATGCAGTTGTGAAGAAGTATTCATTGTTTCATTATCTTGTAAAAGGTACTATAGTGTTGTTTTATGATTTACAGTTAAGAGTATATTCAGTATACGTATGTACTTATATTATGTATTTTTTCGAATATGCAACAGATAAAAAGGTCCTGTGGTCAGCAGAGTATTACGTGTTGTTGTTACATTGTTCATGTGTGTGAGTGGAGATTTAGGCCTGACGGCGGCATGAAAGAGGTTATTTTTGGGGTCACCAAAAAGATAAGCGTTAATCCTTTGTATGTCCATTGCAAATATTAACGAGAGGACAGCCATTTTTATGAAGCTTTGTCATGTGGACCAAACTGTAATTTGATTTAATAACAATGTGCCCAGCAGTGCTCAAGATAACGGCCTTTGTTCAAATGTTGGGCAAACAGGCCGGCGACTATCACCAGCCGCGGGGGGGGACAAAGTCATTTCAAATCAAATTAAATTCAGACATGGAATCACAGAAAGACACAGAGGACAAACAGACAGCAAACTAGATGGGATCACACGTCGTCACGGCCGGTAATAAAAGAAAGAAAGAATGGGAAAATAAAACAAAAGAAACGACAAGTCAATTCTCACAAGATGTTCCCGTTCATTTAAAGGCTCAATGCCCTCAATAGCCAGCTGGTTTGTTTCTTGCTTTAATAGTTTATACACCAACTATACATCATTTGCCTCTTACTGAGTTTTGTGGCTTAAAGACAAAGACAGAAACATTAAATCCTCCAAGTTTGAACGACTTGTTTTCAGTATTATAAGCCTCATTTCACACATCACACTTTGTTCAACAACCGGATAGCTCCCGCAAACACAATACCTGCAGAATGGGATTAATTGGTTTTCACAACAAACGTGTCTGTCATAAAGAATTAAACACCAAAAGCGTGTGCGCTTACTGTACGGCGGTGGTGACGTGAAGCCGTCGGAGGCCCGGCGTCGGGAACTGGCGAGAGTTGATGTACGAGACCTTTGACATGGCGGTGTTGATGCTGTCCAGATCTTCTCCTTCCACCACCAGCAGAGACTGGGCGGGGTTAAAATGGAACTGGACACACAAATACTTATTTGTACTCAAAGAAATCTACCAGTTGATACAATTGAGTTCATGTTGTAGCTCAATTACTGAATATGTGTCTTTGCTTGATGAGGAAATACTTCATACATGTTATAGAGTAGCAAAACTATCTTTGGGGGAACTTGTGAGAGACATTTTTGTAACAAAGACATTTTGGCCGGTCCTCACTTCTTATTTTGTCAATAAGTGTCCTCACAGGGCATACAGTATAACTACAAAGAGGTGTGCGTGTAAGCGTCTTCACACACCTTGATATCCTTGCCGAGGCTTTCGAGGGAGTTGATATCAAGGCCTTCTTTGCAGGCCTGCAGACAGGAAATAACCTTCTGGGTTTCGATGCGGCCGGGTCGGATTGTCAGACCCGACAGGCTGCCGTGGAAATACTGGGTGAACCTCGGGGTCCCAACTTCCCCACCTAAAAGGGAGAGAGCGAGAACGTGGAAAAAAGGGTCGGATGTGATACGAGAGGTTAAAGAAATGGAAAGGGGCAAAGGGGTAAAAAAGGTCAGTTGGATAGATACAGATTGCTTATGTCAAAATGTCAGCCGATTCCTAGTCTCACATTTTCCTTGGCCATGTATTAACTTTCCTTTCGGATTCTGCGGCTTTCACCTGACCTGCAGTGACCCCCGCGTTCCTCCCATTCCCTGCTGCCCCCATCTGTTCCCACTTCTCCATCAGCCCAGTAGCACATACTGGCACACGTCCATTAATTACCCGCCAAATCGCATGCTCTGCCTTCAGCCTTCCAGCAGCTTTCTCCGAAAGCCCCTTGGGACTCACGCTATCAAGCCCGATCCACCATCGGATACATTTGCTTCATCCTTCCTGTCTGTCCGGTTCTGACTGTGTCCTGTTTTCAACATGAGCTTTTTATTTTACCAGCAAAGTCGGAGTCAAGCTTTGGGTTTCAGCCCTGTTTTAACCAAGCCTCCGCGGTAAAAGAGATGTTATTATGTCTGAAAAGCACATGAAGTATTCCCAAAATTGTATAATATCTTTTTTTACACACCACCCATGTTGACATTCACATGTTATTTACGCAGATATAAAATCAATTTTTTAAATTCAAATTGTATACTGTATATCTTGCGATTGAAATATCTCATTTAAAAAAAAAGATCTTGCACCAGTATTATTGTTATTTGGTCCATACTGTTAACTAAATTAAGCAAAGACATGAAACCAAAAAATAAAATAATTGAAAAAAGCAGTGATAAGCTGTTAAATCTGTTAAACGTTATAAAACCAAACGTCTGCAGGCAGAAAACCTTCGACTCTGAAAAGTGAAGGCAATTAATTTGCTACTGCAGCATTGGCTGATCTGGGAGATGTCTCTGTTTTTATTTAATGCTATCACAGTGTTTTAAGGTCATGGAAGTTAACTGTAACCTTTACAGTGTCATTTCTGGTGAAAAAAAAAGAAAACAAGACAGCAAGAAAAATCATATTAATCCAATACATTTAAATTGGAGATAAGACAATCAGTTGTTTTTTTCTTTCGGAATTTTATAATTTCAGAAAAATTAACAAAAAATATGCTTAGATTGCAGCAATCATACAATTTAATAAGACTTCCTGATCTAAAGGTGTCCTTTTTTTCTTATAGACTACCCCAGACTTCGGATGCCTCCTCTGCGCTTTGTTAGTCAACTATATGTTCACTGTGCTGTCAGGGTTGCTTTGAAATGCGATACCCACTTTCCTGTTGCAAATGACTCGAGATGGCAAACACACATTTCCCATCCATCTCTTGGAAATGGAAACGCACGTCTGCTCTCTTGCTTCAGGGGTAGTGAAAACATGGCCTGAATGCCTTTCACATGGCACGTCTCGTCATTATGTTGTTGATTGTTGGGAAGAGGGGATGGATAAATGAGACACTCTGAAAGGCAATCTTGCTCGCTAATGGCCTGCAAAGTTATCAGTTGCGGCTTAGTGAAGCTTAAAGCGGCTTCATTGGGATGTAATAGCTGGCAAAGTTGTCTTCCATTCACTCTGGCTAATCCTTCCTTCGGGGGCTTTCTCTCACAATCAGAGATTCGTGGAAAGAGAGGCAGAAAGAGAGGCCTGTATGTAGCAAGCGGGAAAGTGACAACGACAAAGAGAAAACCGCAATCAGGCCGAGGATGAAAAGAAATCTAAATGGCAACGAAAATGTCATCGGGATTGTGGCTTTGGACGACGCTGGTAAGCATTGTGCGCGTGATTTAGGCAAGCTGCAGAGCGGCTCACCACAGTCTCGTTTCGCCTTCCTGTAAAGTACTTTTCTATAATTATTCCAGTCATAAACAAGGCAGCCGGGTAGCTGTTATTCATTCCAATGTGATCACCGCTCGCTCTCTTTCCCTGCCGATGAAACTGACGTGCAGAACTTCCTGTCTGATACCCACTCTGCTCGTGACTCTCCATTTCAAAGAGAAAATACTCGCAGCCCCGGGGCATGAATCTTAATCTCTTTAATTATTTTAACAGAGAGTCTCCTGCCTCCTCTTCCCCCCACACTCCCTCTCTCTCTGTGTCAGCGCCTCAATTTTGTTGATAGTAATTCTCTCTGTTTGCCACACTGATTGAATCTTTTTCAGTTGCATGTTAAGAAGAAAATACATCCTGTTACATTATATTATGGTATTAATTACCAGATCTGTTCTCAGTTTTTCTGTATGTTTTCAGAGTACTTCTAAAGAACATGTATATTATTAGAATGCTCTATTACAAAAAAATTAAGTTATGAAGTGAAATTTAAAAAAGAATTGAGGTTTTTCAAAAGAAATTTCCCAATTATTTTCTGTACCAGTTTGTCTATTTGGTTTCCCAACATGCCTTTACAATACTACAGCAGTTGTGACCATCAATAACCAATAACCCCGAATTGTATCAGAATGTATATCTATATAGTATATATATATATACAGTTTATGAGTGAAACAATAAGGATGCCCGCTCCAATAGTATTTTGTAAATAATTGCCTTTAAAATGACTTTCAGATGATGTAGTATAGCTGTAAAAAATCCAAACAACACAGTTTAAAGTTGTGACCCACACACACACACACACACACACACACACTGACCTTGCCAGCAGGCTCCCACAGTCAACTGCGTATCAATCTTTGCGGTGTGGATCGGCCAGTCATCGGTCACCAGGTAGGGTTCATAGGTCACCCCGTCCACAAATAGCGTCACTGCAGGAAATTCTGCATTGATGACATAATAGTGCCATTCCTTGTCACAGATCTGTGAAGGAGAGATGTGTTATGATGTTATTAAGCCGCAGCACTTCTTGCTACGTGTTCAATTCATGCATTCGAAAAAGTAAATATTCCTGGTTCGCACTCGCACAAAAATAGCACAGCTTTCAAAATAAATTACTCTGGCAACTACATCTCTTTTCCTGGGGTGTTATTTAGGTTAGGAGCATTTTTCCGTGGAGGATTATGTTTATAAGGATGCTGTTATGAAGATGATGATGTTTACTCCAAACATGCAGCCGAAACCCGAAGGCACATCCTTGAACGCTCTGCGGCTTTTACCTCAAATGAAATAGAAACAAAATTCCTTTCCATTCCTGCTGAACCATATTCTGTTACCGGATGTCTAATGAGGGTTTGGACTAATGAGCTGTTTATTAAAGGAATGCAATGATACACAAACAGGACCCGAGTGCCAGCTATTAGCCGTCACAAACATTATTTAAAAAATGTGGAGAACTTGAGGAACCCATTGTGTTCTCCCACTCTCGACCTGCTTCTCCGCCCACGACAATATGTTAAAGCACTTCTACTACTGCGCTTGGATGTCTCAACTAACCATTATTTTTACTATTAATCAACTTGCAGAATACTTCCAAGATACATCAATACAATGTTTTATCAATAAAATGACAGAAAATATTAGTAAATGGCAATACTAAATTAATTAATATTAAAACAATGCAGCATTTGCTGGTGACCAGGACGAGGTGTAATTTGCTTGACAGCGCTGCAAAGATTTATGTTATATTACATATCAGATGGTATATGCTGCGAAATGGCCACATTTAAATTAAGTGCGCAGTGTTCCAAGTGTTCTTGACCGGCTCAAAGGATGAATGACACAAACAAACTTTGCATGAGGCCGTACAACTTGAGAACTAATGCAGATCATTGCAATTCGGACCACTTGTACTGCAAGCGTAGGTTCCTTTTTAAAGTCATTTTTGCATCTGTTTTTCTGCAATTAGTCTGCGGTCTGCAGCAAAGAACTTCTATTTCACTGGGAGACGAGCTGCAGTTTTGAGATGCACAGAAAGAAACTGTAGGAGAGGATATAACAAGATGGACAGATAGATTTTCATTTAGATTGCATTTCACACTGCGGGCTCAGTGGCCACAAACACCTACGCACACCAGAACCCGCGCAGACGCACACACACACGTGCAGTGGCACACACACAAACATCGCAACGGTTGTTCTATTTAGAAATGAGTCAGTCACTATTTTTGTGTGATGGGGCAGAACGTCGACGTATGGATGTCCCGGACCCCTCCCAAAACATACTGTCACATATCTCAGCAGATCCACAGGCTTAGTTACTGTACTCTGCTTTCTTCCATGGCCTCTGTATATCCCAACCTCACAGTTCCTAACCCATTTTATCTGTCTGTAGCTGCGATGCTGAAATAATTGGGAACATTGCAATCTTTTGCTACATGTTGGATCAACTTCATGAGGAATAGCTTAAAATATTAGGAGCAGAATACATTTTAACAAACCCTGCCGGACGCTGAGAAAGACACAGACAGTAGAATAACAAGAAGCAGCTTTTTCTTTTTGAACTTGGAGTCTTTCAACTTCCTTAGTAGAGCTTCTCTTTGGAGCTACAATGACGCTGCCAAACGTTTAAAAATCTGATAGAAATTCACATGTGAGAAGCAAACAGTTTATCTGTGCAATGTTGATCATGCTACTGCTACTTTTGTGTTGCAGATGTTGCTTTTTTTATACCCACCGTTTGGGTGGACCTGCATGCAAATTACAGGAATGAGATCTAAAAATAAAATCAATCAGATCGGTCAATCACATGCGATTAAGAAATGTCCCACACACAACCTCAGGCACGTTGGATCAAGGAGAGTCAGCGAAGTCGGCAAATCAGGTGATCAAGAATTATACAAACAAAATGGAAGAATTAAAACAGGACAAAAAAGAATATTAAACAAACTCAGCATATAAACTAAAGTCAGTATTAGTCGTTTTTGTCGAAACAAGGGATAGCAGGAACTCCGGTAAATGCATATGAAACAGAAACAGTTGGTCCACATTCTATAACAAGCGGGGGGAAGAGGGAAAAGGGAAGAGGAAGCGTAAATTTAAAGCAACAGGATAGTTTGCTCATCAGTTAATTTGACCAAATATAATAAATTCCAGAATCAGCTAATTCGCATTTAACATAAATGACTGCTGAGGCTGATGGGAAAGTCATTACAATTTCAGCATGATGATGGTGCCTGATGAGGAATCATTGGATCAACAAAATGATTCATCCTGAGGTGCCCCTGAAATATCTGTATTATATTTCCTGATACTTCATAATTGACCAAACACTTATATCTTAACCAGAAATGCAGGGTGATTAGCAAAGTAGGAGTAGAATCCATCCTCTGTTTGCTATGAATATCAATCAGAATCCAATGCATTACTACCCCACAAAGGGTCACCAAAGCTTTAGCCATAATACTCATGAATAACAATGTGTATTTAATAAAATATTGTTGGCAAGAACACATCATATTTACTAAATAGTTTGCAGTGTACACACTTATGTGTATATATTGTGTGTGACTACTGCAATCTAGAAAAGTTCTGAATCCAATCCAACACTCCTTTTCATAAATATTATCTAATATTTGTTTACGTTGCCAATGGCCCCGAGCTTGAGAAATCCTACCTGCACACATACAGATGCTCACCAACACACACGCACACACATCATTAGCAGATCAGCAGAACTCTCTCGGCCGCTGAGGTATGTTTGTATTCACGCTGCTTGTCTGAAGGCACATTAGTGAGTGGGAGCATGAGAGCCGCTCTCCTCTGCAGCGGCGTAACGAGAGTCAAGACAATGAATCCCCGAACACTGTAATGAGCTGGTCCCCAAGCCGGCCTGGTAAGGATGAATACAACCACCAGAGAAGAACCCCCCCCCACCCCTCATCCCCCTCACACACACACACACACAGAGTCAGAGAGAGAGATGTGAGAGAGAACAAGAGAAGATCTGCAGCAGCAGAAAGTCATTGCGGCCACGTCCCTGCTAATGTAAATACATTTTAAACTTTTCAAATTATTTGTCAGACTTTAGTTCAAATTATAATGGTGGTGGTCCCATACGAAAGGAAACGGAAGCACTCAATTGAAACAAAGAATAAAGACTTCCATTCGCTGTCCTAAAGACAGAAAGGGTTCAAAGTACTTGTATATGTGTTGAATCTAGGATTGAATTCAGACACTTGGCACAGAATAGGTTTGATACAATACATTGCTGATATTTAGGGAATATAAATCATGTCATGAAACATCCAAGGCGATGTCAGATCTTTCATCAAGAAACCAAACTCTCTGACTCTATTTAAACAACTCTCTTTGTTGCTCGGCTTGTGTTAGAAAGGCACAAGTGTCACTATCCATGTTACCACCCACTGATAATGAAACAACTAAGCAGTTATAAATTGTATCGTTTGCACCTGTGTTCTTCTAACTTTGACACGTCGAAAGTGGCATCTGTTAAAAAAATGATCGCACGCTGCTTGGTGGCGTCGCCGGAGTCCCAGGATAACTTTGCACACTATCAACCTGAGCCGCAACGAGTGAAAACACACAGGCGGATGTTGGGTTGTTAATTAGCCAAAGGGAAATGAATTAATTGGTTTTGTTGCACCTTTTCAGCCTTTATTTTGCAGCAGACATTTTGTCTTACACACGACTCACACGAGCACATTGGAATGTAGACGAGCCAGTTCTTGTGTCCTTGTGTCGTCCACGCTGCCTCCCTGGCCCGCTTTGCTCGGACGCTTAATGGATCTAAATTATAATTAATAGAATTTGTTTCACTCAAGCTATTCCTGCTCTGACAACGCCTTGTCTGCAGTTCATTAGGAAAGTGATGGACAGGAGAGATTTTTTTTCAATCATCTTAAAACTCCATCTGAGGGTACACAACTTCTTCTTAAACACACTTAATTTATATCTGATCTATACCTCAGATATAATACTACACAATTGGTATCCAGTTACTCATTTTTACTGCAAACCCTTTCCAACGCACAGCTTGCAGATGCTGCCCAACCTTACGGAGCCAGATTGCCTTTGTTGAGTCTATTACCATGCAATAGCAGTGTTTCATCACTGAGAATAAAACACCAGAGATAAGCTCATATATCTCACGGAAATCTGCCCCGGTGCATCAACGTGCATTTACATCTGCACAAAAGAAAGGAGATCTTAAGATAAAAGTGGACCTCAAAATACTATACAATCTGGAGGCTGAATTTAGGTTATTACCCAAAGGCTCTCTGACAAACTATTAGGAGTTGTTGTTAGAACAACTACACAGAGAGCAGAATCCCAGGTTTCAGGTAACTAGATTGGCTTATTGTGCATATTGCTGCAGAGCAAAGAAAAACACAACCCCTTATCTCGGGGTGCATTTGGGGCATTTTGAATCTGCTGACATGAACAGAATAATGAGGACACTCTGCAGGCTGCGGAGAAGTCCTTTAACAGGGTCAAGTTTATTTTCATAGTGGGGAGGTTTGGGATGGGAGGAGCCTTCTTTACGCGGATACAAACCGTGTACAATGGCTTTGTGATGTGAGGGGTACAATGATGTGGAGGGATTGGTTCTTTGTACAGTTTTATTTTTGTCCTCTCCAAACACATTGATTATTTTCTGTTTAGCATTTCATTTGAGGAAATCTAAAGCTTTGTCCACAGGCACAACCATCCATCCTGTTCCATATTCCTTTTTCTGAAGTGCTTTCTCATGCAATCCCCACATTCTCTCCTAACTTGCACCTCTCTTCCTTTTCCCTTTTCATCTCTGTGGCTCCTATTCACATGCCTCTCCTCTGCCACTGTTTTAGCACTGCATTATTGATGCATATCTATTATTATCTGTCAGCGTGGTGGGGAACGACACAGATAGTGGCAAAAAAAGAAATCCAGTAAAAAAAAAGGAAGAATGGAAAAGAGCTTTT